GGGGGCAGAAAATGGAGACAAAAGCAGACAACAGAACATTGTTAGAGAGCAGGAAAGGAGGTGAAAGGAGTAAATTCTGGAGAAAAATTTTTCTGTCGCCATCGGATTCGAACCCGGACCCGGAACCTGTTGAATGAGAGGCAAACAACTTAACGTCTAGGCCACGAGAGCCCCCGCTTTCTGTCTGATTTCTGGTTGTATGCTTTCGCTGTTGTAGCCTACTGTCTGGTGGTAGTCATGACAAATACCCAAACCATTTAATTCGTTATTTATCTAGATCTAGGTATAGCAAACAAGGAGCTGAGTCAAATAGTTCTCCGATAGTCTCGTTTCTCACCCTGTCTCAGCAAACGTGCCCCGTTAAAACCGTTTGTTGAGAGCATCTACGTTTCGGAACGGAACTCCAGTACATGAGGCGGCCTAACATGGTGTTCTGAAGCGAGTCAATAAGATCTCGCTTCAAATCGCTAATTTAAACAACGCGAACACTAGTCACAATATTTAACTTGCGGAGGGAGGGGTGGTGGGAATAGAGGTAAAATAAAAAGGGGGGAGGAGGGGTGTGGAACAGTTGAACGAATAGTCATTCAGCGATTTAGGGATCACCCCCCCCCCCCCAACAACGATTAGCCACTGAGAGATTTAGGACCCCCACCCCTCCCCAAACCATATGACCATACACGCTTTTATTCACATTCACGCACGTGAGTCGACACGGACGCAAACAAATATCTTTCAACCTTTCACGTATGTAACGTAAAACGATTGTAGTATATCTCTCTCTCTCTCTCTCTCTCTCTCTCTCTCTCTCTCTCTCTCTCTCTCTCTCTCTCTCTCTCTCGTTCTCACAAGCGCATACATGCATTCATACACTTATGTGCATACACACACACACACACACACACACACACACACACAAAATACAAACACACGCACATACACACACACGCGCACACTCATACACCTATATGCACACTCTCAAACACACGCATGTACACAAGCGCGGACAAATACACACGAACGAAAAGAACACATGCACACACGCACGGCAGTGCAATAACTAACGTTGTACGTGTCGAGGTGGGCAGTGTAAAAAAGGAAGGGAAGAAGGTAAACACACGCAAACAAAAAAACTCAAACACAGACACGCATGCATGTACACCCACGAACACACACACACATACACACACACACTCACACATACACACACACACAGCACACACAGCACACACACACACACACATACGCGCGCGCGCACACACAGAGACAGAGACACAGACACACACACAAATATATATATATATTTACACACGTTCACGCATCACGGACAAACACTCATACACACACCCTCACAAACACTCACACACACCCTCACAC